ATTGCATATTTGTGCGATTATACCAAATTTCCCTTGGAAGTTGATTGATATATCTGCTGGATATTGATATCTATATATCATCTTCATTTTCTTACTCCTTTTTTTTTTTCTTTTTCCTTTCTTACTTTTTTCATCTTCAAAAGCTCATAGGCTCTCCAGATGATGCGAGTCTTGGGTTTCTTAGGAGTGATAATGCCCGAAGATACGTTAGGCAGTTGCCTCAGTACCCGAGACAACAATTTTCTGCTCGGTTTTCCAACACTTCTGCCGGAGCTCTTGATTTACTCGAGAAAATGCTCGTTTTTGACCCAAGCAAGCGAATTTCTGGTATGCTTCATATTTCGTTTTTATTTTGAAATGATCTGTCGTAAAATTTTGCTAATTTTGATGCTAAAACAATATGGAAGTTAAAAACCTTAGGGAAAGATTTACTATTCGATAAAGTACAATGATTTAGACAATAGAGATCTTATTTCAAAATCGAAGAATCGCGTTATTCTGCTATCAACTAGAAGAAAAATACTGATGCACTATATCAAATTACATTTCGACAAAAATAACAATTCAGTCACGAAGAGCGATGCTTTTATGCCAAAAAAGAAAAGAAAAACATAATGAACCAACCATTTCTTGGATTATAATTGAATTTTCCCTTTACCAATGAATTTTGCAGTTGATGTGGCCCTCTGCCATCCCTACTTGGCACCTTTTCACAACATAAACGACGAGCCCGTTTGCCCTAGGCCTTTTGTTTTCGATTTTGAGCAGCCATCATTTACCGAGGAGAACATAAAGGAACTCATTTGGAGAGAGTCCGTTAAATTCAACCCGGACCCTTCTCATTAAGGCTTATATTTTATCTTAATGTGATGTATTTTAACGTCTGTTTTTAAGAGAATCTGTAATGTGCATATGTAATAGTAAGAGTCCCCAAATGGAATTGAGGAATAATCTGTAGTGTGGAGACATGAAATTTGTGGGATTTGAAAAGGGATTGTTCTTAGGCTGTTTTGTTGTTTTATAATAGCTGCGTGGTTTTGTGGATTCTTGTTTTGGCTCTTGTTATCTTCTGCAGTTGAACAAAATAATAATATTGTACAATTAGAAACTGAAAGTACTTCTCTTGCTCTGAAGGAAGATTATTATTATGCATTGTTCGATTTAAGGGTGTTGTTACCTTACTTTTATTGAAAGCTTAAAAAAAAAAATTACAGGATGTGGAGAAAAATTCTGAAAAAAATGAGCGAAAAAAATATGAGCAAGAAACGAGGAGGTTCGTGTCGTGATGCTTCCATGGGGTAAATTCACGAAAATAAGATAAATATATAATCGATAAGCTGAAAAATTCACAAATTCATCGTCATAAATTTCGATATATGAACAAGTCTCACTAATCCATTCATATTGTTCATATCTAGCAAAAGAACTCAACATGATATAAGCAGATAAAGATAAAAAACTAAACTTTAAGAAACTAGAGTACCTATAGACATTAAATGTGTCAAACAATACTCTCTTCTTGAGTACTTCCGAGTATTGCCCCATGCCGTTGGATGATCCTTACAGCTTCTAGAAGAATATTCTGCTCAGCATCTTTGTTCTGCACCAAATCACTCACACCAAAATAAGCTAGTTGTTACTTAACATTGAACATTTGCATTTTAACATAAGAAAAAAATTTACCATTTGTTTAAGATTGCATCCAAGAGTCAGTTCTGCATAAGATCGCTCAATGTGGGACAAATAGCAGTAAGGAGGCTCCTTATCCAAGAACACATTCACATTAGATTTCAGCATTGACTTTATATCGTCCGATATTTGGGGAATTTTATCAATGTCTTCAGTTCGTATAGGGATTTTCCTGAGCATGAAGCGCCATTTGGCCCGTGATTTGTTCACGATGACCTATAATTGACGTGAACATATCGGACGATTTAATATATAGTAGTGAAGACATTAATAAAACTAGTGCTTCGAAACTTTTTAGAAGCCATGCATAAATGGCCATGATTATGAAAGATAAAAATGAAGAGATTAAAAAGAAAAGAAAAGTGGGGTGCGTCTGAAACTGATATAGCTGCAAGTAGAGTTTTAAGAGAATTCAGAATTTCACTGGTGGTGACTGTTTCTTGATGAAAATAAACACACATACCACGGCATACTCGAGTCT